TGCAGATCTGTTTTATTATTTTTAAAATGAATTAAATAAGAAATTGTGACTAAGAAAAATCTAATTACGGCTTTCAATTTTCTTGAATCCTAACATGCAGCTCCTAGTGTCCTGAAGTTTGGCCACTCTTGGCGTATTACATTCAATTCCATTGTCAGTCCAGATAGAAAATCATTTTTTCATTTGATGATTCTTATTGCTTCTGGAACAGGTAATTTTTGTTGGAAAAGGAATTGTGGTTGCAGTTGGTTGATGCTATAATTTATTCTTCTTTTTTTTTTTTTTTTAAGAAATGTGCATGTTATTGAAGTAGACAAATTTAATGCAGTGCGAATATCAGACTGCCATAGGCCTTCATCTAATCATCTGAGCAGTTGCATTTTAGTTTCTAGTGAAATGTTTTTCAGCCACTTTACTTTCTTTTGTTTGCAATCACCCATTGTAAAAGCTAAAAATTTTAGAATTTATTACAATAAATAAAATGTCATGTTCATACCTTTTTATGCACAGTAACACTGATGACTGATCATAAATCAACTGTGACTGAGCAAACATGCATTCACATTGTAGTGATATTGTAGCTGCTACCTTCGATGTGCTCACCTTGATACCACCAAACTGCATATACTGCGAAACAAAGACTGGCACATAATGACCGAAAAGGATGCAGTGTGACAAACTAACCCAGCAATACTGATTTTGGGGAATCCCAATACTATCACATTTTACTGAAACAGCATTACATAGGGTTCTACTGTAATGAGGCAATTTTACTTTTCTTTATTTCATTATATTTAGCAACTTTAAAAGTGAAGAGTTTTGCAGGAATGAGATAAAAGGAAGGAATACTTCTCCAGTGTTAAAATGTGTGTCAACTGATAGTAGTCTGTTTGCAGTTCTGGAATTGATTCATCTGGGACTTCCCTGGGTTCTTTGCTTATTATGATTTAAGGTTCTGTGAAGTATCAAAAATTTATGGAGCCATACGGCTGAAAATAGGATAGTGCTGTCAAATGCTGTGTTCTTTCTTTTCCTTCCTTGTTTGGATCATTTATTGGAATACAAATTTTATTGGAATTCAAAAAATCCGCAGTGTTGTAAAAATTTATGTCCTGGGCAGGCAGAGTCTTTCAATAGGATTATTTGCTGCTGGTGGCTCTTTTTTCTTTCATTTTCTTCTCTCAGAAGCAATTAACTTTAGTCTTCTCTTAGCCATTTCTTTATTTATTTCACTTTTGAAATTTTACAGTGTTGTAAAATTTGCTAAAACTCCCTTTTTTTATCTTTAATATGAGAAATGTCTTCTGTTTTCTCTCCATTTCTGCAGTAAGCAAGATTTAAAGAAGAAAACAAAGGACCAAAAAAAATTAAGATGTCATTATTGAATGACTGGGAAGTGAATCTTTTCATCTGCAAATTGTCTGATAATGTAAACCTCCATATCAGACAATGTGACTGTCCTCCTCAGTGACCTTCTTTCCCACCAGGAGTGGGACTTAAACCCTAATAGTTTAAGGAGAAAAATATTTTAAAACAAATCAGGAGAAAAATGACATGTAATCAAAGTTATGAATTGTATAAATTAAACATTTTGCTATTATCATGAACAAAAATATGTCAGCACAAAAGTAAACTAACATATAAATACAAGAAACCTATAAGAATTCCCACTATGACTTTTTTATTTTTTTTTATCTTCAATGATATCTTATTCTTCCACATTCAACTTTGATTAACTACTTTCTTGATAAATAGCATTTTGTTTTAAGAATTTAAATTGGTATATATTTTGCAATTCAAACATGTCACTTCTTATTTGATAAATAATTGTACAAGATTTGCATTATACACTGAATCTAAATATTGTATTATCTGTTATTATGCACTTCTTGTGATATTAATTGAAGAAAGCTTTTCATCCAGTATCAAAAGATATCAACTGATATACATGTGATTAATTTCTCACATTTCTTTGCTAAACTGTAACTACATTTTGCTGATACACAGTTAATGATCAACTTAATGACTACACATGTTGTAGTGAAACTAGATTTAGTATTCTTTTATCAGTTTCAAGTAAATTATTAATTTTTTTCATGCTATTATCAACTAAGCATTTGTAATAAAAATAATCTATCCAATTTAAGAGAGCAGGACTTATTTCTAGAATAAAAGTTTAAGGTAAATATGTAAATAAAATCTCCCTCTCCCCCCCCCAAAAAATTGGTTTTATGCAACATTTGTATCTCAAAAAAAAGTAATCAAAAATAATTTTTTTGGGGTAAACTTTTTTTAAATATGCTTTTCTATCACAGTTAAAGCTAAGTAATTTTTTATTTTACTTTTTCTTTCAAATATTATTTAAAATGGCAGCAGCATTTGCAACCATTTCTCTGTCAGCTGTTGGCACTAACAGTGCATTTACATTTGTCTGTTGTATCTTATCCTTTCTGTATAAATCCTTACAAAGGAAAATTTGCTGTAAGATTTTTTACCCAGATTTGACTGCCAGGATTTTTAACAAAATTTTTTTTTGCCTCCCAAAGAAAAAGGGACCTGTGTCTGATCACCCTCAATATTGACAGAGTGTTAATGAAAATCTCTATGAAACTAAGGTTGCTTTTTATGTGATTTAAAATTTTACACTGCTTCCCTTTGATAGTGTTAATTACAAACCTACTATGACTATTGATTGATTCTTCAAGGTCATTCATGAATTTGAGTCAGTCATGATGTCGGTCAAATTCTGTTACTTCCCCTGGAACTTTGACATAACTCACTCATTCATTCAAACATAGCCAACAAACGCATAATGTAAACATTTATTAAGGAAGAAAAAGCTGGACAGGTTTTAAATTCATCTTTTTGATAGATTAGATTTTAGATCCCTCTTTTTGGATGGGTTTGCCATCTTTCAAAGTTCTAGAGAGAAATCATGGTGATGTCTCATTTTGCTTGCAGTTATTAGGCACATACAAAGTACATAATAAAGCTAGTTATGTATTATGGGAACTACATTAACATGATGTATAATTTTGATTGTAGCTGTTAGGCATATACATTGTGCAAAAAAAAGGGGGGGTCAGTTCTATATTTCCTGTTCTACTGGGCCGATTGACGAAATTCAATTTGCATTTTTCATATCTCGAAAGCATGACTTAGGATACGTATTAGATTTATATATAGCATTTTTCTAGCATAGGTATTTTGACACAGAATCGGACTTTTTCTGCAGTGACATGCCAACTTTTTTTCCATATTTAATTTCTGCTACTTAAATTATGTCAAACGGCCAAGTTTTGTAAAAATCGTATGAGTAATTTTTAAAAATTTAGGTCTCAGTGTTAATTGAATTTGGTGCTCAGTGTCCTCAGTGTTAATTGAATTTGGTGTTTATGTATTAATATCTCATTTTTTATTTAAACTTAATTGATTCTTTCTTTTTTTTTTCCTCATTTCAAAATTTAGTTTTTTTTCCAAATATAATTTGCACATTTTTTATGATTTATTTTTAAAATTTGTATTTTAAAATAATTTTTATAATTTTTTGAAAATAATTTTGAATTTAATCTATAAAATGTTTACCATCATCTTAAAGTAGATGTATTTCTAAGCATACCTGCAAAAAATTACAGTTTTTTTTGTAATTCAAAATTTCCTAAGGTATATCTGAATTTACATTTTGAAATTTGCCGTATTTAATATAAGCGATAATAACAAAACTGTAATTTATGTACTTTGTTAAAATTATTTGAAAGAAGGAATGATAGACCTTTTTCCTTTAGTGCATCAATGAAAAAAAAAGGAAGGCAAGTAAATTGGAAGTCTGCAGAAATTGGAAAAAATGCACCAAGATAAATGCTTGAATTTATCTGTAAATTTCACACCAAATTTTACGAAATGTAATATTTAGGCATAATTTGAGTTATACAGTTGATGTCTGTAAAAAAAAAAATTGACGTAATTTCTAAAAAAGTCGGATTTTGTGTAAAAATACCCATGTTGGAACAATGCTATATATAAATCTACTATATATTCTAAGTCATGCTTTCTTTATTTTGCTACAAATTTACTGAAGGGAACAATAAAAAGATGCATTTGGTTAGATAATTGGTTTGCAATACCGAGTTTGTGGAATTGTGTGATTTTTTTTAAAATGCAAAAATCCATTGCTGGGTAAATGGGGAGAAGAAAAATAGCATTAAAAAATAAAGGAAGATTTTGCAAAAAACATGTTATATTCTTTAAAAGTATCGTGTAATCCTTATTAAGTAATTAAAATTTGTGTTTAAAATTTTAAAATATGTTTTCTTTTGATATGTTGATAATGTCTGCCAGTTTATGATAAATATTTGTAGTTTGGGAATAATTTAAAAAAAAAGTCACGAAAATAGCCAGCTTGTGCCTCAATTTTTAAAGTAAGTAATTTTTTTAATTTTTACCTTTTCATCTGTAAAAAAATTGTGAAAAAATTATCCAGGGTGTTTGTGTTAATATGTAAGTACCCTTACAAATTACACAGTACTGGCATCTATGTCAATGTATAAGACTTCCTAGATACAAGATAAAGGTGTCTTTTTAAAGAAGAGCTAGGCTTATTATAGAATACAATACATATAATAACAAGCATTAGCCAAATGACAAAAAATGTTATGTATCTTCAGAACCAGCATAGTTCTCATAATTATCTCTGTTTAAATAACAGTCATTAAATTATTTTAATTAATTTTAATCGCTTTTTAAGTTACTTGAATAGTACCATGTTTTAAGTTTAATTTCTGATAGCTCCTTAAATGCAAACCATTAAGTGAAATGTTCTGAAGACATATTTAAAAAAAGAATGAATGATCGATATGAAAATTTTCAGAGTGGATTTTTATGTATAATTAATTATTTTTAAAGTTATGTTAAACTAATTGAAATAAATCAATAGACTATGATGCAGTAAACTGAGTTACTTTAATTTATTTTCTTATGCTATATATTGTTTATTTTTGTAGGTTTCATAATATTCCCAAATGAAGTTGGATTAACTCAGCTTTGCTCAGTTATTGATTTTATATCTTTAGGATTTTTAGTAAGTTTATTTCTTTTATTTCTTCCTTAATTAATTTTATTAAACAAAGAAATGTTTTGTCTCTGATGTTGTGACAAGAAAAGAAATTTATAAGTATGTAAATGTAGTACATTGCGATTTGAAAAAAAAAGATTTAATTAAATTGTCAGGTGTTAAAAGGTATTATGTGTAAAAAGTCAGATTTTGCAGGAACAACAAAAAAACTATTCATCCCCTCCCAAAAAAAAAAAAAAAAAAAAAAAAAAAATTCCAGAAGCCGAAAGCAAAAAAAAAATTATGAGACTGGTATAATTAGGATTCGAGTGATCCAGCTTCATTTAAACTTTTTTTTTTTTTGGTTCATGGATCTTCTCCCCATATATATATATATATTGTTACGAATTTGGTATTTAAAAAGCTTATGTTAGTTCAATTATAAAAATAAATGGTTTTTATTTCTCGCGCAGTGCAGCGCGTGACGAATATTAAAAGAAAGCTAAGCCGGAAAATTGAAAATACAAGAGCGCGTGCGTTAAATAAATAAATATCTCTTTTTGATTTCGAGAAAGTGCTGGAAAATTCTAGCGCGTGATTTTAAAAGCTTATAAAAGGAGGAAAACATCTCAGTTTGTAGGAGTTGCTTAGTTTGTTGTTGTTTAGAAAACTACTCTTGTTAATTGTAGCGAATTCGCAGATTAGCGTTCTTTAGCTGTTTTGAATTACGTTCTATTGGACATTTGAGTAGTTAAAAGAAAACTTCTGTGAGATATTGTAATACTGCGTGATAATTTGAGAAAATTTAAGCATTTTTGTTGTGATAATAATAAATTTTTGTTCATTTTTCATCGGACTTGTGCATTCATTTCATAACGAACCCGTATGCACGCAACAATATAAATTAAACATATCTCCTTTTTACAGATTGCAATAT